GTCTCTGGAGCCTACCCAGCCAGGGAGCATCTGCCACCAGCCCAGCTTGGAGGTAAACTGCGTCAGACTCTGAGTCCATCTCTCAAGTTTCTGTTTCTCTAACAAGCTTCTCTATTTGTTAAGCCATTGTTCAACCTTCCATGAATTCTTTAAACATGCTCAACCTTATATATAACCTAGTTATAATAGTTGTGCTGAAATCTTTGTCAATAAAATCCAGCTTCTGGATCCCCATGGACACAGATTTCTTTAACTAGATCTTCCTGATTATGAGCTGCACTTTCTCATTTCTTATGTGTCTTTAACTTCCTCAGATAGTATATCGAAGCAACTTTGGATTCTTGTAGGCATCTGCCTGTACTGAGTCTGAAATCTGTTTCCTATGATAAGAAGCACTGGTGTTGCTGTATAATTTGTGTTGTGTTTGCTTTTTTGTTTCCTAATTTTTTGTTTTCTGTTTGTAAACCATAGCTAGTGGTCAGCCAGTGATTGGCAGAGGTATGCTCATGCATCCCCAGCTGTGAGGGGTTCCAACTTTGCTGACTGAAGTGTGTGCTTGCAGTTGGGGTGGTCTTCACATCTGCCCAGGACTTTGCTTTCTACTGGCTCTGGTGGTCTCCATGCAGAGCACAGTTTCACAGCCAGCCCTCTTCAAGCTTCCTGTGCTTGAGCACAATCTTTCCAACAGACAGGGAGACATGGGAGCTCATCACAAATGGGTGCAGTCTCACTTCCCACGCTTTCTGTTAACTTTGGACCGTCTGCTGCTGGTCAGTTACTTCAGCCAGACACATCCTCAGGCATGCTGCCTGCTGGCCTTCCCATTTGCCGCTTGTATGGCCACGGCTAGGCCTGGGATCTTGCACTCCAAGTTAAGGGAGCCCCCTTGACTGCAGAGCTTCAGGGTTGACCCCCACCCCCACTCCTCGCAGCACTATGGATGAGCTGGGATGGGAGTAGGGCCAACAGGGACACCATATAATTCTGTTGTTCTCACACTTCCATTCTATTGTTCCATAGTTTCTTATAAATAAATGTTTCTCAATTTGCTGTGTGGCTTTTGGTGGTTTCCAGAGCATAGGGGTGGCTGTTCACGACTATTCTGTCCAGTCTGATTCTCCATGTTAGCAGTGGTCCTGCCAAGCCCCTCACTATGCCTTACTGGGAAAAAAAGGGGGCGTTTTAATCTTCTTCCTACCTTCTAAATAACAAGAACAGCAGCAAAGAAAAATGAAAAAGAACAATATTCAGGATGCATGTTCTGATGGGCACATCTGGCATGAGCCCTTGGGAAGCTCTGCCCTGAGGTGAGCTCACTCTTTGTGGAAGAAGGCTGTCTCTACCCATCAACTGCTGTAACCAACATGCCCGGGCTTCCTACAGTTCTGGAAGCCGAAGCCTGAGGTCAGGTGCTGGCAGGTTCAGCTCTGGTGAGGGCTCCGGCCTGGTTCTCAGACAGCTGACCACTCACTGTGTCCCCACATGGGGAAAGACGACTCAGCCTCTGGGTCTCCTGTAAGGGACACCATCGCAGTGGGGCTGGCATTCCAGCACAAGAATTTTGGGAGACCAACATTCAGTTCTCAGCAGAAGTGAGGTTGTCCCCTTTTATGGAAGAAGGTGGCTGAGTGTCACTCCTGTGACGTTACTACTTTTACTTCCAGTCCAGATTGCTACTTAATAAGCCTTAAACAAATGCTCAGTACTTATTCTGTTCCTACTGAGTTTAGACACTATTTACAATGTGACATTGTCATGGTAGGATACTTTATATCGTGGAACCAAGCTAACTGGAACCAAGTACTGGATTGCAGTTTACAAACATGTATTTTTTAATCAAATTAAAATTTTTCCCTACAGCATTATTAATTAAACTTGCGTGCAAAATAGCTTGCATAGCGTTCCACAATCATCTTTATATCTGTGTCTGTGTATGAGTAATGCTAGAGAAGACCGCATAATTATTCAGCACAGAGCACTCATGTTATTCATATAAAGTCAGGTGGGTTGGGGATTTGGGGGCAATTTTTTAGTTAATGGCCAAAGATCAAATTTATTAATAATGAAACTGGCACAGAACCTTAAGTCATTTGATGTCCAAAAAATTGATAACACGGGGATACCACTTACCCAGTCTCTCTTGCTTTATTTATGTGAATAAGTGCTGTTCTCTTGGAGGTGAACCAGGCGACAATGTACCTTTGCATTTGTTTCAAACGACTTAAGTGGGACTCTCCATATAGTCATTACTGTTTAAACATGGGAATTCTGTGCCTCTGGAGTAAGTGACAAAGTGCAGGGTCCATGCAGAGCAGCTCATCAGATGTTTTCCCTGGCCGGGCCTTAGATTTCAAGCTCGGGTGGAAGAGTGCTCCAGCAGCAGCGGGAGGGTTGACACTGTGAGCCTTTCAGGGACGGTGTTGTTGTTGGAATGCTTTCAATGCTCTCCATCCCAGGTGATTTATTTCATAGAATTGTGAGTGTTTTAAAGCAAAAAGAACCATGTCTGGCTCATTCCCTGAGACTGAGAGTTTCAGGCCTCAGTCTGCGATCCTGCCTTGTGCCGGGATCACTGTCCACCATGCTTCCCGGGTGGATGCAGGGAATAGCCCAGACACGCTTCACTCTGACCAGGCGGGTAGCAGGGGGAGGCTCCTGAAGGACGGCGGCTCTAGTACCCCGCTGGGGTAGGGCCATCTTCGGCATCCTGTCAGCGTCCGTTTGACCATTGGCTCACCTGCAACATGTGTGCAGAACCTGAGTTAGCAGGTCTGGGTGGGCTGGAGTTCTGGAGCTCTAACTCCTGTTGATGTTCTGCCCTGGATGCTCCCCCAGACCTGCTAAATCCAAGGCTCCAGACACTGGAAGCTGTCAACAGCCTTTCCCAGGGATGCACAGTGCCAAGAGATTCTCCTTTTCTCCAGCGAGAGTGATGAGAACAGTAAGCCAGCGGCCTTGCCAAGGGAGGAGGCCGCTCAGCCTTCCCAGCTGCCAGCGCAGGGAACATGTTAGGAACATGTTAGGATCGGCGGGAAGCCTTCGGGTGAACACTCAGTGTGGAGCCTCCAGGGCCACGGGGGCGCTTCTGACCCTTAGGAGGCCAGATGGGGCTGCAGGGACTCTTCACCCAATGTGCTGACACTGTTCCCAGGATAAGAGCTGAAGCAGTTACATCAGAAGGCAGGTCAATTGTGGTTCTCTTTCTAAAATGCAAGTTTAAATTTCCACCTAGAGGGGCGCCTGGGTGGCTTAGTCGTTAAGCGTCTGCCTTCGGCTCAGGGCATGATCCTGGAGTCCTGGGATCGAGCCCCGCATCGGGCTCCCTGCTCCGCGGGAAGCCTGCTTCTCCCTCTCCCACTCCCCCTGCCTGTGTTCCCTCTCTCGCTGTGTCTCTGTCAAATAAACAAAATCTTAAAAAATAAAAAATAAGTAAATTTCCACCTAGAAAAGTACTAGACATTTGTTTTTTTTTTAAATAGTGGGACCTGGAGTGTTCTTTGCTGGCTGAGCTGGAGGCCTGTGTGAAGGGTCCAAATGTGCAGGCAACTGAGTCTGATGAGAGGCCCCATTCAAGTCTGGACTCTCGTTAGGACGACCGCGGTGACCCCAGTCTGGACTC